TGAAAGTGAGGGAATGTCACAGAAAGATTAACATACTTTTAAAGTTTCCCCACAAAGTTCTTTTACGTGAGGAAAACATTTTACTTAGAGTCCCTCCATTATCAAAGAAAAGAAAATTAGCGTCATTTAAAGCTAGCTGTTGCTGGTTTATATTGCTTTACAATGATAGACTGTCTCACCGGTCATGATTTTCATAACCAGAATCCACAGCTGATATATTGAAAATTCCTAAGGGATCTGCTCCCATTCAGAGGAGTTGGGGATCCAAATCCTGAAGGGAGTTTTGGAAATCTCAGGTCACGTTACACCTGGATGCCTTTCTAGAAGATGTGTTTTAATCAAAGACAAGGAACTGGGTCGAATGCAGGAGCAAGTGGAGGAAATTCTCCAGCCTGTGTTACTCAGGAGGTCAGGCTAGATGATCCCAGTGCTCCAGCCTGGCCCTGGAAAGGATGAATCTAGGCAACAGAAAATATGTCTCCTGTGGGCCGATCTGGGAGCAGAGTTATGAGACAGGGCTAATCAGCTGCTTACCCCTTCCCGCGGGAGGAGGTGGAAAAGCAGGACTGGGGATTGGCAGAGTCTTGGCTCCACTCCCCTACTCAAAGGTCACTGTAGCTGATGTTAGGGACAGGGAGTTATTTAGTGTCGGTAATTTCCAGCAGTAAAGGCCTGAGCCAACCCCACTGAAGTCAATGAGAATCCGTCCATAACTGGCCTAGGAGGAATTGGATTACACCCTGGGAAGATGAAGGGAGCAAAGGAAGAGCTGTGACTCAGAACCGTATTTCAGAGACAACGCCTCCTAGGGGTAGCCCTGGGCTAGTACAGATCCTTTCAGGGTTGTGCCTAAAATAGAAGCCTGACTCATTGTCCTCAGAGGCTGCACTGGAGAGGTGAGCGACTCCCCCACACGAGCAGGCAGATCAGAATCTGGGCCCAAGTGTCCTGTTGCTTTTATCCCCCTCTGCTTCTGAAGGCTATGAGGGTTTATGCAAAGTCTGTGGGTGCTTCCTGTTTAAAAACCCAACCTCTTTTCCCCTCTAGAATAACCACATCGAAACAGCGAGGCTGTCACCTGCTTTTACTGGTCAGAATATCGGTGTTTGGTTTGGCTGCAGAGGATAATAAATATGAGGCATATTTTAATTTATCTTTGCTTAATGGCAGCTTATCCAGGTAAATTGAGAACATGGGGAATTCACAAGATGCTGGAATAATGGGAATAAATCTGGTGTTCCGATATTCATTATATGCCTTCCCTACAGGTGTCCAATCGGAGGTTCAGCTGGTCCAGTCTGGGGCAGAAATTAAGAAGCCCGGCGAGTCTGTGAAGCTATCCTGTAAAACCTCAGGGTTCACTCTCACCGACTACTATATGAGTTGGATCAGGCAGACTCCTGGGAAAGGACTGGTTTGGCTTGGAAGAATTGACCCTGAAGATGGTGCCACTAGCTATGCCGACTCCGTGAAAAACAGAGTCACCATCTCGACAGATAACTCCATCAGCACCGTGTATCTGCAACTCCGCAGTCTGAGAAAGGAAGACACCGCTGTGTATTACTGTGCAAGAGACACAGTGAGAAGAAACCTAGTTCTAGCCATGCAAAAACTCTCAGCGTGAGGGCAGTAGGATACCACGGTGAACATCAAGGAACTGAGAATAACTGTGATCGCAGCCAGGAATCCCAGCAACTCAATGAGGCAGGTATCAGTGCAGGCTATTTTTAAGATCGGCCCAATGTCACAGTAGAAATAGTTGCTAATGTTAGAGTCACGTAAGGGCAGCTGGAAGATCAGAAGACTTTGGAATAATATATCCAGGAATCCCCCGAAACAAGCCCCATGGACAGCTGGAGGCAGATCTTGCCGGTCATGACTGTGGCGTATAGCAACGGTTTGCATATGGCCAAATAGCGGTCGAAGGACATCACAGCCAGGATGAAGAGCTCCGTGCTGCCCAGGAAGAAATGGAAGAAAGTCTGAACGAGGCATCAGTACACGTAAATTTTTGTCTCAACTGCTACAAAGGTCTGTCGCATTTTGGGCACCATGGCGGTGGTGTACCAGCTCTCCAGGAATGAGAGGTTGCTCAGGAAAAAGTACATTAGGGTGTGCAGCTTGTGACTGGTCCCTCCCGATGATCACAATAAGGCCGTTGCCTATGAGGGTCAGGATGTTCATGAGTAAAATGACAGAGAAGAACACAAAGTGAAAACCATGCCCAAGGGGGAAGCCCCAGAGAATCATAGAATCATAGAA